TCCTCTGGCGTGTGATCTCCCTCATTGACTGATGAATCTGTTATCTGTCAGACTACAAATTACCCCCTTAATGGTTTTTAGGCTGATTGGTCTAGGATACCTGTTACAGTCAATTATTAAACTGAGGTACGGAGGGACTGTGCCTGGACTCAGAATCCTCAGCAAGTCCACACCTCAGCCTTATACCAGCTCCTCTCAAAATACTTTTCTTACTTGAGGATTCAGGAAGACCTTTAGCAGGGCATAAAGTCTTCTACTTTAAAATATTTTTAAAATAATTTAAACACTTAATCACTATAGATCATTTAGATTATAAAGACACTTTACCCAGCATGGTATACACCTCAGTCCAGCCCAGCTGAGAATACTATACACTGTTAGAGCAACTATTGGAGGAGGAGGTATTTGAACTTTTTTTTTTTTTTTTTTTTTTGGCCATAGGAAAGTGAGGCATCATCCCTCAGAGGGGATGGACACACAGCAACCTCTCCTCCTCCATTTTAGGCATGCACCACCAAGCCCAAGTTGATTTTTAAGCCACTGGTCTGGGACTCCTACCATGTGGGAATCCAGTGCCATAACCACCACACCACCTGATGGTCCCTTACACTTGTTTTGGAAGGATGAATGGGCATTCTCAGATGAAGGTCAGCATGACTTCTTCCATTTTGACCCAGCGACATCTCCTAAAAGGGCAAGGGCAGCTCCAGAATTTCCACATTGCAAGTGATAAGGGAGAGCAAACTGGCTGAGGGCAAAATCAGTCTTGTATTAAAACTACTTTCGTAAATTAAGGGTCCCATTGCTACATAGATTTTACTTTATGAGGAAATAAAAAAAAATAGTTTCCTAAAGATGTTTTCACTGACATATTGTACTAAAGACATATCAAAATTATTATCATTGGTATATACTTTTATTTTAGTTAGGGTAGAGGGAGTGGGAGATAGGATAGATTATAGGAGCATGCAAACCTACAGCCAAACGCCATAAGCACAGCAGGGGAAGATCCAAGACTGACCTCTCCCCTTTCCCCACCCTGTGGTATATCCTAGTAGGGCTTGAACGACTGTGATTTCTTCCCCCTTTACTCTCGTGGTATGTTCCAGGAGAGGCCTGTAACCAACCAACCAGCCTTTTCCGTCTGGTATTACACAGAGCCATAATACAGGTCCCCAAGAGCCCTCCTCCAGTAAGCCCGCCCAGAAAAATGTCCCCACCCCCACTCCCTGCCACCAGTGGGACAGCTCCACGCCTCCCTTCTGAGTTTACTGGAGCCCTCATCCTCACTACGTGACGGACACTCCTCCAACATGGCGTACCCTTTGAAGAAGCGCTTCCGGGCGCGGCCATGTTCCCCTCCTGACAACGCTGCGTTGGATCCCAGAACGCCTGAGAGCCACGACTCCGTAACATCGCCATGTTAACTCTTGGCTGACTGAGGCTTCGAAAGTGGCTTTGCACATGCGCAAATCCCTCCTCCCGGTGGACAGCCCCAAAGCCCAACAAGGGGCGGTGCTAGGGGTGGTGACCGGAAGCGATTGCGGTTCCCTGCAGCGGTTTAATAGTTGTCTGGAGGATTCAAGGTTCAGTGCTGGAGGGGTGTGGAGGTGATGGGGGCCGGGGAGAGTGAGTGCTTGGAATTCTGTGTGATCAGTGATGGAATCATTTGTCATAATTTGAGTTGGCTGATTTGCTCATTATTTTGCAGGCTCTTCTTTCTGATATCAACGTTAAGGTCTTAAAGTTCACTCTAAGACCCATTGGGTTTGGTGCATTGTTTTAAGTGTTTTGAAAGAGTTAATAATTTGGCTTTTACCCAGGAGTTGTGTAGAAGGGCGCTTTCAATTTACAAAAGTTTATCTTTTAATGGATTGCAAATGTCAGTTTTCTATGTCAGAAAAATGTCTTCGTGAAGCTTATTTCTTGAAATGTAAGAAGACTTAGGGCCTACTTTGTGATGAAATTTTAGAAATGATCTCTATATAACTCAAAAGCAGTATTTAACAATTTGTCGGTTGTATCCTGCAAAATTTATCTTTTTAATTTATATTTTAATTTTGTCTGCTTCTTCTATTACTCAAAGGAGAAACTGTCCACTATGAGGGTGATTTTTCATTTTCTGCTTGCTGCTGTCATTGGTCCATTGTGAGTTTTCCTAGAAAGTGTGAGGCTTAGGTCTGTATGGATTTATTTGATTATGGATGGCTAGTTATTCAAGCACCATTTGTTGAAAAGACTATCCTCCCTCTATTGACTAATTTTTCACCTTTGTTAAAAATAAATTGGCCATAGAGTGTAGGGGTTCTTTCTGGATTCTCCATTCAGTTTAATTGATCTATGTGTCTATCTGTTTGCCAGGGTACCACCTGTCTTGATTACTGTGTCTGTATAATAAGTCTTGAATTGGATAGAGTGATTTTTTCCACTTTATTTTTTTCACAAAATTGTGTTATCTTTTAGTTCCTTCATCATGCACATTTTAGAATAATCTTGTCTCTGTCTACAAAACATCTTGCTTAGGTTTGTATTGCAATTGCATTAAGCCTGTTATCAACTTGGGAAAAAATTATGTATTAACTCCATCATTTTCCAATCCATGTACATTGTATGTCTCTATTTAGATCTTGATTTCTTTTCAAGAGCATATTATGATTTTTAGCATAGAAGTTCTGTACATGTTTTATTAAGTTTATAGCTAAGGATTTATTTGTGGAAGGAGTGGCTGTAAATAGTATTGTTTCTAAATTTTTTGTCTCTGCATGTTTGCTGCTTCTATATAGGAATACAGCTGAGTTTTGTGTGTCAATCTGGTTTCCTGCAATCTCTCTAAACTAGTAGTTTTTCGTAGATTCTTTGAGTTTTCTTCACCATCATGTCATATACAAACAGGGACAAATTAGTTTCTTCCTTTATAACCTCTGTCCCTTTTCTTTTCTTGCTTTATTATGTGGGCTAGAACTTTTAGTACTGTGTTGAATAAAAGTGGTGAGAATAGACATCCTTAGTGGTGAGAATAGGCAATCTTAGGGGAAAAGCATTTAGTCTCTTACCATTAAGTAATATGTTAGCTGCAGGTTTTTAATTTTTTTTTAAACATGTCGTTATCAAGTTGAAATTTTCCTCTATTCCTCACTTGCTGGGAGTTTTGTTTATTTGTGTGTGTGTGTGTGTGTGTGTGTGTGTGTGTGTGTGTGTGTGTTTTGTTGGTTTGTTTATTTTTAGAGGTTTTTGCCTTAGGGTGCATGTACTCCCTGGAGACAGAGACAGTAAGAGGGAAAGTGAGAAATTACCCCTCAGAGGGAATGGTCATGCCTCAGCAATCCCCTCTCCTCCATTCTCCTCCTGGAATCTTGGGCACATGCAACCGGCCTGAGTTTCTATTAAGCCACCAGGTTCAAGACCTGAACTGTGGGTGACCAAGTGGGAGTCCAGTGGCATAACCACTATACCATCTGTTGCCCCCCCACCTTTTTTTAAATCATGAATGGGAGTTGAATTTTATTAACTTTGTATGAATTTATATCATCTATTTTTTTTTCTTTTTAAACCTGTTAATATGGGGGCTTACATTGATTTATTTATTTTATAATTGTACCTATGTATGGGGTATAGTGTTATTTTTTAATATAAGAATACAATGTATGATCAAATTGGAGTGACTAGCATATCCACCATCTCAAAGATTTGTCATTTTTTTGTGTCGGGGTACATTACAAGTCCTTTAATTGAGCTAATCTGAGATATATAATAAATTACTGTTGACTGTCACTTTAACACTGGAATTTGTTCATCTTATCTATTTGTAATTTCGAGTCTATTAACAAACATGATTGATGTGTTCATATTGAGCCAGCGGAATAAATCCCACTTGGTTGTGGTATATAATAATTAATTAGCTAATTAATTAGCTAATACTTTCTGTTTTTGAGGATTTTTTACATCAATGTTCATGGGACATATTGAGCTATGGTTTTCTTTTTTTGTATTATCTTTATCTGGTTTTAGTATTCAGATAACATTGGCCTCATAGAATGAGTTGGGTGCTATTTTCTCCCCTTTTATTTTCTGGAAGATACTGTGTAGAATTAGTGATAATTTTTTAAAAATGTTTGGTAGAGTTCTCCAGTGAAATCACTTGCAAGGAACTCAACTGGGTTGTTCAAGTCCTGATGTCCTGAGACTGTCCACCTTCTCTTTCTATCTTTCAGAGTTTTCCTATTTGTTTTTGTTCTGTTGTGTCAATTTTTTTCCAGTCTTTCTACACTCACTAATCTCTTATGTCTGTCTTTTTTTTCTTGTATTAATTTTGTTAATTTACGTTTTACTAAGGAAGCACTTGTTTGCATCAGTATTAAAATATGCTGCTCTACAGTTGTCAGTTGTGCATACTCTTCCATAATGACTGCTTTAAACACTTCACTATATGGGGAAGATTGTCCTCTTCCATTTATATATATGATATATATAAATATACAAACACACACACACACACACACACACACACATATATATATATATATAATTTTTTGACTGTTCTACTTTATCTGGTTGCTAGGGGATTATTTATGGTATAAGTTATTTTAAAAGAACAACTCTTTTCTTCTTTAAATATCTTTGATTTAGTTAAGGAATTATTTATTTAATTAATTAATTATTTTGAAAGGTTTTTGCAATAGGGCGTGTGTGTTTGCCAGAAGGACAGAGAGAGACAGAGAGACATAAAGCAAGAAATCATCCCCCAGGGGGATGGCCACACCACAATTCCCTCTCCTCCATTTCCTCTCAGGATATTGGGCACGTACACACATGCACCTGCCGTGAGTTTAAGCCATCGGATCCGGGACTTGAACTGTGGCTGACTACATAGGAGTTCAGCGACATAGGCATTACGCCAACTGGTGGTCCCGAAGGTTTTAGTTTTAATTACTCCTTGTTTCTGCTGCTGTTTTGCCTCATTTTTTTCCTTATGTTTCAGCTTGAATACATAGTTTATTTTTGTGTTTTATATATACACACACACACACACATATATATGTGTATATATATATTTATATTTTTAAGTTTGTTTTTTTTTGCCATAGGATGTGTGCACTTACTTGAGAGCGACAGAGAGAGAGATAGAGAGAGAACATAAGAAATCACCCCGCAGTGGGGATAGTCACACTGCAATCCCTTCTCCTCCATTCTCCTCTTGGGATCTTGGGCACACATACGCACGTGCTTGGCATGTTTTGTAGGCCACCAGGTCAGGGCCTCAAACCCATGGAGTTGGCCATGTGGGATCAAGTGCCTTAACCACTATGACACCTGCTGGACCTGGGTTATATTTGTTTTTACTTAAAATCGAAGCCACTGAAAGCTATATATTCCTCTGTTAATTAAAACTTTGTATTCCATAACTTTCTGGCAAAATTTATAAAGCTTTCTTTATTGATTTTCTACTTTGATCCTGGGTTATTTAGGAAAAAATTTCTTTCCTTTTCTAAAAAAAATAGATTTACTTGGATATATTTCAATACCATAAAATTCACTCATTTAAAGTATACAGACAGCTCAGTGGAATTTAGTGTATTTACAGAGTTGTACAGCTATCACAATATAATTTTAGAACCTTTTAGCACCCTAAAAGAAATCATGTCCTCATTAGTAGACATTCACTATTTATGCCCCCCCCCCATACCCCTAGCCCTGGGCAACTAATAATCTATTTTCTGTCTGTATTGATTTGATTATTCTAGACATTTCACATAAATGGAATCATAAAATATGTGGTCTTTTGTGACTAGCTCTTTCAATTAGAATAGTGGTTTTAAGGTTTGTGGTAGGAGTCAGTACTTTTTTAAAATTGCAAATCATATTATATTGTGTGGCTATATGAAACTATTTAATCCATTCATCAGCTAATGGATATTTTGGTGGTTTCTATTTTTTGACTACTATGAATAATGCTTCTGTAAATATTTATGTACAAGTTGTGGAGTGGATATGTGTTTTTATTTCTCTCTCTCTTGGGTAGCTACCTAGTAATGGAATGGCTGGGTCATATGATGACTCTATGGTTAGTATTTTGATGAACTGCCAAACTTTTTTATTTTTCTACTTTTATTTTATTAAAAATTTTTTTTGAGAGAGATTTTTGCTACAGAGCATGTTTGCTCACCAGAGAGACAGAAAGAGACAGAGAGACAGAAAGTGAGAAATCATCCCCCAGGGGGATGGACTTGCTGGAATCCCTTCTCCTCCATCCTCCTCTTGAAATTTTGGGCACACACACATAAGTGCCTGGTGTGGTTTTCAAGACACCAAGTCTGGGACTTGAACCACAGTTGACTACATGGGAGTCCAGTGACATAATCATTATGCTACCTGCTGGTCCCTATTAAAATTATTAAAGGGTTTTGTCATAGGATGTATGTGCACTTTCTGGGAGAGGAGAGATACATAGAGAGGGAAAATGAGAAATCAACCCCTGGGGGTATGGCTATGACACAATCCTTTCTCCTGCCTTTTCCTCTTGAAATTTTGGGCACACACACATAAGTGCCTGGTGTGGTTTTCAAGACACCAAGTCTGGGACTTGAACCACAGTTGGCCATGTGGGAGTCTC